GAACAGTGTCTCTCTCATTATGGAAGGAATCAATGTCATGGATTGCTAAGGCAAAGTGTCATAATTATCTGAAATCAATATTGCTTATGTGAACATTCAGTTCATTAGATCATGAGATTTAATAGCAATGAGAGTTCCAACACCCTCAGAATTTATTATCTAATTCCAGATCAACATAGACCAACTTACAAAGGAAAAGCTGAATAAGAATGAAAATCAGCATGGAGACAGCATTTTTTCACACAATTACATCTACTACTCATTGCCTTGATTGCATTTTAAATATTCACTTAGATTATATGATTAAAGTCTGACAGTTTTTGTATTCTAAGTGCCAATGGTCTAAGAATCATTTCCATGTAAAGTGTGTAACAGACTTTCAATTTTTCTTTTTTTAAAAAAAAAAACAAACCCAAACATTGGTCTATTAAGCACATCTGTTTCCACCTCTAAAAATTGCCAATCTTCCCATTAGCCCTTCTGGTCCAAGCATGTGTTTGCACTAAACACTCTTAGGCGCCTAAGAGAGAATTACTGTTACGTTCAACATCTATGAGCCATGAGGAGGTACAGTTAAGGCTAAGGTGATTTAACCACATTTTTGGAAAGGAATGTAAAAAAAAAGAAAGAAAATTCCTATTAAAGTTAAGACAATGCTTTGTGACACTCTTGGGCCTTTCACTGTCAGCCAGGTAGCGAAAACCAGGCCAAAGCTCACTGCTGTGGAACTGGTTCTGACCTGTGGTGATCCTTCATCAGACCTCAGGGCCGCACAGCTCCCTGGGAGCAGACTGCCTCGTTTTGCTCCCACGGAGCGGTTGCTATATTTGTACACCAACCTTTCTTCAGTAACCCAGCACTTGCCTCACTCTGCCACCCATACTCTAAACCACCAAAACGTGGGGGTTTCAATAATTTTCTCTTATAATTTCACTTCATGGCCATTTCTAAACATGGCCTAAATGCCTTTGTAATTCATTCTAAAAGAAATGTTAAAACATTTCAAACTCTTTGCCATCAAGTCGGAGCTGACAGCTCCAGCTGATTTTCAGAGGCTGTAAATTGTAATTGAGATTACCCATCCTTCTTTCATAAGGCAGGTGGGGTGTTAGAACCTCCAACCACTGCATTAGGAGCACAGCTGCCTACCAACTAGACCACCACTGCTCCCTAGCAATTGGTTAAATACTACAATTAATTGCTTAAATGGTTATTTCTTACCATTGTGTCAGTTCTGCCTCTTAACTGACCCTCCAGTGGGTTCTCAGAAGCCTAAATGAAAAGAGAAGACTGCCCCTCCTTCCCCTGTGAAGCAGCTGGTGGATTTGAACCACATGTCTTAGGGCTGATAGTACAGCTTCTTACCACTAGGCCATTGATGAGTTACATGAGTCAACGGTAAAATAAGGTTATGAAACAAAATGTCAGCGATTGAATAAACACAATAGGATTTGTAAACCTTCACTCAAATAAAAAACAGAGAAGAAAGGAGTCAAGGACAGACTAGCAATCCTAAGTAGCTATTTAGATATACCTGAATATGCAGCCATTTGACATTCTATAATGCTATTTTTATTTTTTCTCATATCAAGTTGTTAAGCAAGTCCCCATTTGCTATTCTTTAAAAATTATACTTGTGTAGAAATCATTAAACTTGTAACAATATACAAACTGCTTTGTGAACAGTTTCAAATTACTTTAAAAAAATAGTTGCTCTATAAGTGTTAAATATCACTAAGAAAAAAAAACACAGAACACAGCAAGATATTATCAAGTCTGCACTGCACACTAGTGGCAGTAGGTAGGAAATGCATGTTTCTTTAAATTCTAAATGAACATCATTTCCATCTTAAATGTTTTGCTTTCTTAATCAAGTTTAGAACTCATATATTATACATACACTTTTCAAACACAATATCTGTGTTGTGAACTAATTTTTTTCCTTCCTATTAAATGAGTGTCTTGTTTAGTTATGTACCAGTGAATTAAAATACTATTAATCTATATCTGTGTGGGTGTGTGTTAGAGACAGAACGAGAAACCTTCAAAATTAAATCTAGAAGCAGAGCCATGAAGATGAATGGCCCCGTGCGACTCTGACTCAGCCGCCCTACACGTGAATGAAGCCCTGTCTGTCCGGTGCCGTCCTCACAGCCACCGCTCTCCGTAGCCCAAAGCTACAGTCCCTGCTAAGCCACCGTGTCAAGGGCCTCCTCCTTCACTGACTTTTTATTTTACCAAGTGTGATGTTCTTCTCCAGTGACTGGCTCTTCCTGAAAATGTGTCCAAATGAGACAGTGTTGTTGTTGTTGTGTACCGTCAGGTCAGAACCAGCTCACAGCTGACCCTCCTGTGGGTTTTCAGAGGCAGTAAATCGCTGGGAAGGCGATTGCCCCTCCTCTCCTGTGCAGCAGCTGGTGGATTTGAGCCATGCTCCTTGGAGTTGACAGTACAGCTCCTGGCCACTAAGCCACCAGAGACACCCGTAAATATGAAATAAACAATCTAGATTGTTGATTCTAACTTAGTTTTGATTGAGGTAAATTACGTTTTACAGACACTCCAAATAAACTTTCACTCTTCTCCCTGGAATTATTTTTTATTAAAGGACGATTTGTTAACATGAGATTTTTTTGTTTGATGATCTTAAGGAATGTCTGCTTTCTTTCTAAATCTTGGGGGTTAAAGAAATGACTGGCCTTGTGCATGATGCCTCTTTGCTCTCAGGGACTTGGAGGTGCCTGTGTGAAACCAAGAGGAAGGATGTGCAAACAAGCACAGTCAGTGAAACCTCACTCATTTCACCAAAGCTTGTGAGATGAAGGTTCCCTACTGTTGCCTACAATGAGCCTTCCGGCGCCTCTTCTCCCAAGACAGATTTCTTTACTCTTCTAGTATTTCCCATATTCTTCATCTACACCATAAGGGGGAAAGGCTTTGGCCAGTTACAAGATTCAAAGGCTTCAAGATTCAATTTCTAGTGAAAGGTACGATGGTTGGAAAAACAGATCAATGAAAAAGAGTCAGATCAAGAGTTAGGAAGATGGATTGACCCAGTGGGTGAACCAGAAGGTTCAAACACAGAAGATATTGAGAGCCTGGCACAGAACGGACACTGTTCCCTCTCTTGTATGTAGGCGCATGGATAGTGCTACCAGCTGATCGAAAATCCTCTAGAAGAGTCAAAGTCGCTCCAGAAGTGGCATCATAATAGATTCAGATGCTCTAGACAGGTATTAGCACACTCCCACTAAAGGTTCACCCAGTTAAGAGCAATTTAGCCTGTTTTCTTTTATCTCACATACTCAGCTCAATGTTTTTTACACAAAGAATTTGCGCAATAACTAAAGAATAAATATTCATAAATCATGACAATTGAAAGGCTCCACGGCACCATTTTACTGGTGCAGCTACCAAGGAAACTAGGAGCTGGGCATGTGAGTCCCTTACACTAACAGCAACAGAATCACTAGGCCCGAGATACATTACCATTTGCAGAATTATGCATATGTTGTTGTTGTTATGTGCCATAGAGTCGCTTGTGACTCATAGCGACCCTATATACAACAGCCCTAAACTCTGCTCTGTCCTGTGCCAATCGCACTGTCACTGACACTCCCATCCTGATTACCCTAGTCACTGAATCAATACACCTCATAGAAGGTCTTCCTCTCCTGCGCTGTCCCTCCACCCTCCCAAGCATGATGTCCCTCTCCAAGGACTGGCCCTTCCTCGCAACATGTCCAAAGTATGTTAGACGGAGCCTCAGAATCCTTGCCTCCAAGGAGCAGCCTGGTTTAACCCTTTCCAGGATGAATCTGTTTGTTTTCCTAGCAGTCCATGGTACCCTCAATACTCTTCTCCAGCACCACAGCTCAAAGGCATCAATTCTCCTTCCATCCTCCTTAGTCATTGTCCAACTCTCTGATGCATAACAAGTGGTAGCAAAGACCATGGCCTGTATCAGACATGCCTTAGTCTCCAGAGAGACATCATCATTGCTCTTCAGAATTATGCCTATAGCTTAAAGTAACCTTGATCTAGATGGTGAAAGGACTTGTGTCATGGTGGTTGGGTGTTCTTCTGTTAAGCAGAATGGTCAGCAGTTGTAATCTACCAAGGTCCCTGTGAGATAAACAGCCAACAGTCAGCTTCAGCAGAGAGGACAGCACCGGAGACCTAAGGGTGCAGCCCTGCTCTGTCGTGGAAGGTCACTGAGTCAGAATTGATTCAGAAACAATGGCCTTGGTGTGGGTTTGGCTAGACTGATCATTAAAAATACTTGTGGTTTAGAGTAAGACGCTTATTAAGTGGGTTTGGCATCCTGATATGTGACTTCATATATTCACCTTATACAAGAAATTCAGTTTCTAAACTTCCCTTCATCTTCTTTGCCTGGCATTTCTTCTGTTGAGACTTACAGCCTCAGAACGTCCATGGAGGGAGGGACGCTCGCTGTGAGTTTCCAAATGTGAGTTTTCATTGTCCCTAAGGAGCTCTGACAGCATGGTCTGGTGGAAGTTTCGCTGCTCACCCAAAGGCCACACATGTCGGCAGTTTGAACCTACTGGCAATTCCTCGGAAGTAAGAAGTCCAATCTCCTTCCCGGCAATTACAGCCTCCTGAAAACCCCCTGGCCGGTCAGGAACCAGTTGGTTTTGAGTGAAGGGGCTCTGGGGGCATGTGTTACATGCTGCATGGCTAATAAAAAAGTCGGCAGTTCAAGTCCACTTGCTCCTCTGGGAAAGAGGGTTAGTCTCCTTCCATAAATGTTGACAACCTTCGAAACCCAGCAGAGAGACCCTGTGAGACTGAAGCTAGACGGCAATGGGGTGACCACATTCCCTGTGAGAGCCCTGGTTCAGGCCCACTCTGTCCACGAACACCCCACTCTGTCCACAAACATCCCACTGTGTCCACGAATGCCCCACTGTGTCCACAAACACCCCACTCTGTCCACGAACACCCCACTCTGTCCACAAACATCCTGAGCCCCATACCTCACTTGCATCATTGGTCTTCGCGGCTCTCAGTTCTTCATATTTCCACTTCCACAGAGACAATGCTGACTCTAGCTGCTCTATTTCTCTTTCCAAAGAGAAGCGTATCCTAAAGCATTTAAGAATTAAAGGAAAGAAGATTAAGTTTGGAATATAAAAGCAATTTATGAAAGTATTCAACTTTAGCTTTTTTATTTTCCTAATTTTTATATTTGTGTATGATTATTGTAATGAGAGAGAGAAATTTTTTCAACTTATTAAAAATTATAAATATTGAATAAAACTTGGTTTAATTTGTTATTTTGTCAATTAATTCTACAGTAGATTAACCATATTTAATTTTACTTTTCCAGAATCACAATAATTGACTTTCTGCCTGCTTTCTCATGTATTATTCATACACTTCTCCACAAAGCCTATTACTCATATCATTTCCTTACAGAGGAGGATATTATATGTTTCTAATTTTAACATGGTTTTTCTGTTTTCAATTCATGATTGTATATAAATGAAAAAACCTGGCAAATGACGTAGAATGCCAGAGGTTCCACCTAATATTTTAAAAATGAATCATTTATTAGGTATATAAAAGTGATTTTTGCTTATTGTTCATGTTACTGGAGCTTTTCTACACTAAAAAGAATGGAATTTAATTTCCTCACTTGTAGAGCTAGTGGTGGAACAAAGAATGACTCTTATCCTTTCATGTTTCACTCATTGATATCTTTGCTATTCTAACAATGTCCATTACTAAAAACCATCCGAAAAACTTACTTTATGTAATAAAATTAAATATACAAATATTGCCATTTGTGACCAGCTTATCTTCAGTATTGTGGTAGATTAAATTGCTGTCTGAACATTTGCTGTTGTTAGGTGTCATCGAGTCAACTAATCGATGTAGTCCTGGATGTGCTTGGGAGCATGAACAAAAAAATTTGGCAGTTATCTACCTAGCTGAGAGACTGGAAGAATTTCATATTTGTTTCTATTCCTGAGGAAGGTGATCCAATATAATGTGGGAATTACTGAACAACATCAGTAATACTACATCTAAGCAAAATATTGATTAAGATCATCCAAAAATGGCTAGAACAGTACACTGACCGTCAGCTGTCAAAAATTCAAGCTGAATTTAGTAGAGGCTATGGCACCATTACTGATGTCAGATGTATCCTGTCTGAAAGCAGAGAATACCAGAAGAATGTATATAAGTGCTATATTGAATCTACAAAGACATTTGACTCTATGGATCATCAAGAACTATGGCTAAAATTGAGAAAAATAGGGACCCCAAAGCACTTAATCAAGCTTATATGAACCTTATGTCTAGATATCAAGATGTTGCTCTCAAAATACAGCGGGGGGTGGGGGGGGGAACAGAGCAAGGGAACACTGCATGGTTTAAAATAAAGAAAAGTGTGTGTCAGCGCTGTATCTATTCTTCATAGCTATTCAATCTGATCCTGAACAAATCATTAGAGGAGCTAGACTCTTTGAAGATTCATCAACAGTCTGTGTTATGCAGATGATATGACCTTACTTGCTGAAAATGAGGAGGACTTGAAGTGTTTGCTACAGAAGGTCAAAGACTACAGCCTTCAATGTGAATTACATTTCAAAGTAAAAAAATTAAAAAATCCTCACCACTGCACAAAAGACATCATGATTCTTTTTACTTGGATCCACAATCAGCACCTTTGGCACCAACAGTTAAGAAACTAAAAGACTTATTATGTTGGAAAACGCTACAGTCAGGGACCTCTACAAATTATTGGAGAACAATGATGTCAGTTTGAGAGGTAAAGTGCACTTGATATAGTCCATGGTCTTTTCAGTCATTTGTTATGATGCTGAAAGTTAGGCAATGAAGAAGGATGATAGAAGAACTGATGCCTTTGACATGTAGTGTTGGATAAGAGTGATGAACACCCCATGGACTGCCAAAAAAACAGTTATCTTGGAGGAAGTGCAGCCCGAGTGCTCCTTAGAGGAAAAGGTGAAGAAGTTTCAACTCACCTATTTTGGGCATGTTGCTAGAAGACAGTATTCTTTGAAAAGGGACCTTACACTAAAAAGGTAGAAAGTCAGTAAAAGAGAGCAAGACCCTCGATGGGATGGATTGATGCTGCGACTACAGAAATGGAGTCAAATATGTCAAGGATGATGGGGATCTCACAGGACTGGGCAGGGTTCAGATCTGTTGTTCACAGAGTCACTGAGTTGTACGCCATTTGACAGCATGTAACAACAACAAATCAAGTAGTTGTGAGGCTGTGACTGACTCACAGCAATCCTATGAGCAACAGATCGGATGTTTGTCCATTGTGCACCGTTGTCACGATCTCTGCCATGCTCAAGCCAATGCTGTGTCAAGCCATTTCATCGACAGTCTTCTCTCGCTGACTTTTCTTTTCTTTGGCTCAAGGACAGAACTCATACCCAAGCAGAGGTTTAAACATAACTTGGGGTGTTGGACTTTCTCTGTGTGTCTGCTGTTGTTGTTGTGAGAAGGGGACCTTCCCCACGGAGCTGCTCTTCCCAAAGTGGAACAGAGCAGATATTGTTTAGTCTCACCAACTATCTCAGCCTCACTAGAACCATTCTACCGGGTCCACCTGGAACCAGCTGCCTCCTGCCTCCTTGAGAGTTCCCAACTCAGGGCTGTTTAGTTGCCATTCCGACTCATACAGACCCTCCACTGGGTTTCCATGGCTGTGAATCTTAGCAGAGGGCTGTCTGTCTGTCTTTCTCCTGAGGGGTTGCAGAGGGATTTAAACCTCCAGAGACACTCAGCCTTCGGGCATGCATGGCACCATCTAGGCGTGATACCACTGGAGCTCCATGGCAAAGTGAACAGTAGTCATTTCAAGTCTCTGAATTTTGTGCTGCTGTTGTTTTAATCCAGCAAAACGTGTGCTGCTGGTGTAGTGGTATCGTGCAAGAGTCCCACAACCAAATGTAACTGGCAGTAAGAAGACAATAGCTAAAAGTGGGGTACATTGATTATAAAATGCAAAGCATTTTAGACCTCATTTCAGGTGGATAGGGTGAGCAAAGGCAAGAAACGGTGATAAAATTTCTAGGAATCTGGTAAGATAGTGACCCAGCACATTAGTTCATTAAACGCACTGCCATCAAGTCAACAAGCTTATCATCCACCAGGATTTCAGAGGCTACACAGTGTTCATCTTTCTTCCTAACAATAGAGGGTGTTTTGGAACTGCCTGACTGTGAGTCGGCAGTGCAACTTCCTACCCACTAGGCCACTGGGGACTTCAAACTCCCAAAGCACTCATTGCCATTGCTTTGATCCCAACTCATGGTGCCCTTCCATTTCTTCTCACAGACTTTGGATATTTCATCTCACATATTTTATCAGGAAGGGACCAGCCCCTGGAGAAGAATGCTGTGCTTGGTAAAGTAGAGAGTCAACAAACAGAGGCAGCCTCTGAGCTGGATTGCTCCCGTTGCTGCGACAGTGGACTCCGGCTCCTCGTGGCTGTGACCATGGCGCAGGACACAGAACTGTTCCCGGCTCTTGCCTGTAACCTTGCTCCAAGTCAGAGCGGGCTCAGTGGCACCCAGCAATGACAGTCCTCCCCGGGTTTTACAGACAGCTTAGGAATAGATGACACTAAACCTAAACTAACCCCAAGTCTTGTTTTTATGTAACCCAAATATACTGTTGTTATCTACTGTCAAGTCAGAAGTGGCTCAGAGCTGACCCTCTAGCAGGTTGTCAGAGATAGTAAATTGCACGAGGCGAGATTGCCCATCTTTCTCCAGAGGCTAGTGGATTCGAGCCTCATGCCTTTGGGTTGGTAGAGTAACTCCTTACCACTAAACCATCAGTATTCCCTAAAATTTTGCTGTTATGTCTAATCCTACAGCAAATATTCAAAAGCCATCTCATGAGACAATCAAACAAGATTTTACCAAAATAAATTGAAATTAGTAGATACCTACAGTATGTATATGTGTAGTCCTCAAGCAAATTAATACAATTTCAGGGGGTCTAATATATTACTACTGCCCCCTGAAATTTTGGGTATTTGCTCTATTTGGAAGCAGGAGTGGCATCCACTTCCTACACAACATGCCTCTGGAAACTCTATGAACTTTGATAAATATTGATAGTTATAAAATGGCTTCAGGCCTTTTGTTCATAGGGTCACTGTGAGTCATGCCCAACTTAACAGAAATCAATAACAACAATATAATAGAAATAATGGTTTATTTACTTTGATCCTTTTAAATGTAAATCTTAAAATAACTGGGTTTTTTCCCCTAAAAGAATATACAGTTAAAACTTACAATTGAGTGGGAGGAGTAAGAGGATAGAAATTCATGAAAATGCACTTACTGAAAATGAGATGCTTATGTATCTTAGTATTGCCGGTCAGACAATTTTGTGTTCTAAAAGCATGATGTGTGGTGCAGACTTA